CTAATATCAACAGGAAGACTGTAGATGCTAGCTTTCTGTAGCTAATATCAACAGGAAGACTGTAGATGCTAGCTTTCTGTAGCTAATATCAACAGGAAGACTGTAGATGTTAGCTTTCTTTAGTTAATATTTATAGAAAAATTGTTAACCTTTTGTAGCTAAAATCAACAGGAAGACTGTAGATATTAGCTTTCTGTAGCTAATATCAACAGGAAGACTGTAGATGTTAACTTTCTGTAGTTAGTATTTATAGAAAAACTGTTAGCCTTTTGTAGCTAATACTTACAGGAAGACTAGATGTTAGCTTTCTGTAGCAGGAAGACTAGATGGTAGCTTTCTGTAGCAGGAAGACTAGATGGTAGCTTTCTGTAGCTAACGTTAACGGAAGACTGTAGATGTTAGCTTTCTGTAGCTAATATAAACAGGAAGACTGTAGATGCTAGCTTTCTGTAGCAGGAAGACAAGATGTTAGCTTTCTGTAGCTAACGTTAAAGGAAGACAGTAGATTTTAGCTTTCTGTAGCTAATATTTAAAGCACGACTATAGATGCTAGCATTCTGTAGATAATATCAACAGGAAGACTGTAGATACTAGCTTTCTGTAGCAGGAAGACGAGATGTTAGCTTTCTGTAGCTAATATTTAAAGGACGACTATAGATGCTAGCATTCTGTAGCTAACGTTTACAGGAAGACTGTAGATGTTAGCTTTCTGCAGTTAATATCAACAGGAAGACTGTAGATGTTAGCTTTCTGCAGTTAATATCAACAGGAAGACTGTAGATGCTAGCTTTCTGTAGCTAATATTTAAAGGCAGACTGTATGCTAGCTTGTGTAGTACTGCCAAGATAGTTTCCACTGTGGGTATTGATTAAGATTAAGGTATATTTGGTGTTTGAACAATTAAAACAGGGAGTTACACGCATCCTCAGAGTGGCTCTCAGGTATTTGTGGATTTTAGCCGTTTGCCGGTAGCTGTGGTCCCTAACCACCGTAAATGTCAGGGTCCAGTTTATATTCATATAAAATTAAATATGAATGAATACATCAGCTGAGAAAAAGTTGTTATAAGACATAGTTAAAGAGGTTTCTATGGTGTTTGAATTTGTTTGTATCCAGGTTTAGCTGATTTAGTAACAACGCTAATGCTAATGTCAGACTTACTAGCAAGCTTGGCTTCTTAAAGGGACAGTATTCTGCAAAATTATCTTTATTGAGCCTTACATGATGTTATAATATTATTCTCTAATCAAAAACACACACGGGGTGTTGCTTTGATTCTTTCAAGCATAAGAAATCCTTTAGTCTCCTGCGGCAACCAGGCTGTGTGGTGTAACAGAGCGCTGCCTTTTCGAAGAAGCTCCTCCCTGGAGCTGCAGTCACTGGCTGAGCTTCCCCATTACTGAGCATCCCTCCCTCGTAATACCTCCACTAGGCTCCACCAGACCAGAGGCAGCAGCAATTAGCAAACACTTGGTACAATTCAGCATCTACTGGACATTGTTGTAATGCTGTTGTAATAAGTTCCAGAAAGAGCAGGAGCTTCTTACAGGTCCAATTTCAAGGTGTCAAATTTTGAAGTCATATGTCTTTTAAGTCATGCTTGATAAAAATGAAGGTAACAGTTACTTGATTGTGCACTATGTTTCTGGAATATCCATAGTACCACCCCATCATAAGGCAGTAAATCAACAATGCATCTTAGCTGTGGTTATCAGGCTTGATAAATTTACTTCGGTAATGTTTATGTCTTATCACAAACCAGAAGAGTTCATGCAGTGAAAGTGCTCGTTAGACGTCATTCTGTTGTGATAAGAGGGCTTTCTCTGAATCCATTAAACGTGTTAGCATGTGCTAATGACTGAGGCTGTGAAACAGTTTCCTCACTAATGTGGTGTATTTGGTATCGACTCATCGTAAGTAAATGTACACTAGATTGTAGAAAGCATTTACAATTGATGAAGTAAAATCAAAAACACTCTTGGTGGGCTTGGGGCGAACGTAACATTACTGCAGTAACTTGAATCTTGTTCCGGTGAGCCAACCAATTCAACAGTCTCCTGTGCATTAAAAGTCCAAATCTCACGATATCGTCATGAGAGTTGAACATTTACAGTTTGAGTTTTAAATTGTTAGCATCAGCTAAAACGGGGGGTCAACGTGACCTGCTGCTATCCTTCCACCAGTTTGAGCATTTCTTACATTTTTCTACAAACACATGGTCCCTTTGACATCTTTCTGCTGCTGTTTCTGATAAACCTTCAAAAACCCAAAATGATCAGTCAAAGGGGAAAGTGAGAAGTGTGTGCTCAGTCACCTCTTTGGCTCTTTGCACCGCATCACTGGGGGGGTTTCGGATCTGTGGCGTCGACTTGGTGTTGATCTTATCGTAGAGCTGAAAGGAAAGCAGGAAGCCAGTGAGCGAGTCAGTCGAAAGTGAGGCTCCATCTATTACACCACTCATTCTTTGCATGTCAGATGAGTGTGACAATTCATTGCCCCTCAGATTTTATGTACTTTCCCACAAAGATTCCTTCTGTGTCGAACTGTGTCAGGCTGGGATAAGTTACTTTTGCTGAGACGTCACTATCATTTCATATTTAACCTGTCAGTCTGGGATTGTTCAACAACAAATTACCCAGTCATTGTGAACCCCAAGTTGTCATATAGTTACTGTTTTATTTAGAAAATAAGGCAAGGTCCCCTGCTATGCTGCCATCCCAACAAGCAAGCAAGCTGAGGTGAGTACATTTTCATCAGCGTAGACAAAGTGCTTGCATAACTTAGGATGAAATCGGTTTAGTAAGATTAAGAACATTTTATAGCAAACCTAGTCCACAAAATACCAAACAACCAGCTCAACTGGTGATCAGCTCTCATGCGTTTGAGAATCAAATGATTAGAAAGACTCCAGTGCGACAGAGGTATTGTTTGTGCAGATGTGTCTGCAAAATGTGTGCATAGGCTATTGCAAGAAAAAGAAACGGTGAAAAAGTCTTTGGAAGAGCTTGTTGTTAATTCATCATTTCGTCATTAGAGCCATCTGTTGACAATAAGCACTTCTCACCTCTCTGCTTGTAGGACATGAGTCATTATAAATGGTTCAAAACAACATACTGGTGCAGGTGTCATAAAGGGACAGACCAGCCCTGAAAGGCAGTCGAGACAAAGCCAGCAGCTGTGGCTCAAATTAAAACCGAGCGGCCTTTGGGACCTCGGACGCAGACGACCACGGCCGAGTGACACAGCCGTTATCACATGAAAAAGGAACGAGTGTGTGATGTTTGCTGAGCAGTATGTAATTTTCATTTGACCTGCAGCACAGAACACTGGCAGACAGTGTGCCGCTATAAGTGCACACAGTCGTAGACGCACACACAGACACACACACGCATACACACAGACACGCAGACACGCACACACGCACACTCTCAAAGAAAAACAGAGGTTTGTACCAGGCAGTGCAATGATACCCAACGCCCCTCTGTTTTTTTTCTAACAACACCAGCAGCATCACATTTCACTGAACAGATGTGGACAACTTAATGCCTACAGCAAATAACTTTTGACAGTTTTCTAGAAAAGATTTGCAGCAGATCACACATCAACATCGCTCTCATAATGAAGGGTAGACTTGTAGCCTTATAGAACCGGGAAGCATAGCAAGGAATTCTGGATATCTGTTGGGAATATTTATGGACCCAGTTGCAGAGCACAGTCTTCTCAGAGTTGACAGCTTTCGTGTGAAAACAGAAGAGCAACAAAGTTCAAGAGGTGTTTTTCTTTGGCTTCAAAACTAGAACGTCTAGTTTGACGTTTCCTTGTAGCATTCCTAAACATGAATTACACAGCACAGAAAGCAAGCTACTATTTTTCTGATGCCTCTCAGTGTTATGAATCACTTGTGCTTGTCAAAGGAGAAAGACAGAACTATGCTAGAAAGGAATTCAAACTTTGATGAAGAAAAAATACCAAAACCGATCAATGGAATGGGGTGTCCAGTTCTAACGCAGTCATGCAAGCACCGGTCCAGATAAAAGTCTGAACTGTATACATCAATGATCATGACCACTGGAAGTGAGATCAGTGGTTTCTGATTAAGAGACGTCATGTTGTGGGCAGTTTGGAGAGGTTTCAACAAAGATCAGATTGTGACGGTTTGACGGTTCAACTCGGATGTAGCATTAAGAAAATTACCCAAAGTGATGTTTGGTTTCATATCAAGCATTAAATGCTACACCATAAAAACGGTTCAAGAACAGTGTGAGGTGCTGACTGTGTCTCCAAACTTTCCTGGAAAACAAGTTCGTTTAGATATTACAGATTTCCAAACTTTGGAACATGCTAACTGACTGGTTGAACCGACCCGTGACTTTCTTTTAATGCTTGATCCGGACAACGAAGGAGTGAAAGAAGATGACCTGGTCCAACGGCTAGTCACTGTTTTCTGTACTAGGATGTGGCACCGGAAAGTATATTAGGAAAAGGACAACAGTGGCAAAGCAATCCTTAATAATTCAGGTCAAAGTGGGCAGAACTTTGACACATTTGACAAAGTGAAACATTCTTTGACAAAACGTCCTTAAAAAAAGTGCAAGAACGGTTTCATAAACACAACGAAGAGTTTCTGATATTGCATTGGCTTATCCTTTAGGATGAAGTCCTCCACTTGAATCAGACTAATGATCCATTACCAGATGTTTTGTATGATAGGCGAACGGTCTTCAAGAATGTCTGCTTGGCTTCAGTCACTACATACAGAATTGTAATATTCTGGAAGAATCTAATACTCTGGTTTAGGTTTAGATCGGTTCATCACTCAGCTTTGAATCCACAACTGTGTGGTCAGGCAAACGATTTTAATAGATATGAAAATCAGGATATATGGTAGATTCCAAGTCAGACTCAGTCGTCTAGTCAAGACCGCTCCTGCCACCTTCTTCAAATTAAATAAAACAGTTTAATTTGGCTTTTGCAGCAAAAAATGTTTTTGTTTGTGCCACTATCATTTTAAAGATATCACAAAATGTTTCCACATTTAAAAAAAAATCATACAGATTTGGTGTCAATAATAAGCTAGCTTATTATTG